GTAACTTTAAGTATATAAACATTATCACCCATTCTTCTAGATAAAGTTGGAACAGAATTAAACTATTTTTCAGTAAATCTTCAGTAATGACAGGGGCCTAGAAATAATTTAGAAAATGAGTACAGTGTATGGGTTTGAATATTTAACTATGCGTGGTATCCAGATATGCCCTGATCTGAAACCTCGGGCCTTTGAGTATGCTCTTCTATCTGTAATGTTCTACTCTCATCATATTAATTTTTGCTCATCATTGAAGTCTCAGCTCTAAGACCTGTTTTTCAACAAGCCAGCCTTAAAATCACCCAAGAGTGATTGTCTGTCATGTGGCTGCCTTATGAACTCTAATTTGTATCGAGGTTTATGGATTTTACAACTACAAATTGTCCATTATTTTAATTGCAACATTTAATTGCCAGTTTACTTGTCCATCTTTCCTACTAGATTGTAAACTCTTAGATGCAGGGACTGTGTCTTACTCATCTCATTCTTTGCACTTAAAATTAGACAATTGAAAATGCTTGTTAAGTGAATAATCAATGTTTACCTGTGTGCCTGTTAGATTTACCCGAGTTACCTGATTCTTAGATTATGTTAGTGTGAATAAAATATTATATCAATAGATTGGAGTAGGTAATTTCCTTAACACTGCAACACATAGTGGAATATCTGTGTTTGATTCCACTTTAAAAATTTTCTCAAACCCCATCACCATAAGCGAATGGTCTTTGACATCATCAATGAATAGATGGTGGAAGGGCTGCTCGAGATTCGGAAATGTTGAAAGGATGTTGCTCTTCACTGAGGGGCATGTTGTCAGTTTCCCTCTTTGGGCAGCTCCAGTATTTCTAGTAGTAAGTGGTACAGATGGAGGGGGAAATCTACGTGACAGGCTGCCTAGGCTGTGTCAATGGCAGGTCCCTTTAGGGTGCAGGAGGGGAGAGTTGCCTTTTTATCATCCATGGTTTCTTTCATGTAATGCTTCTGAATTGTGAAAAGAAGGTGAGGCAACGATGACATGCAAATGCATGAGTTATTATCAACAGCAACTTGAACAGTGTGATGGAGCGGGCATCAGATCTTTGGTACCCTACAAGATTTTAATTTTCTCCTTTTGATGCAATTCTTGACCTGAAATATAAACCCTTTTCAAATCTCTCCCAGACTTTTCTTTAAGGGGGAGTCAGCCATTGGTTCTAAACATTAGTGGGCATAAGAATTGCCTGGAAAGCGTGTGAAAACAGATTACTGGGCTCCACCTGAAGCATTTCTGTTCCTTGGAGCAGGGGCCCAAGAATTTTATTTTCTAAACAAAACTCTCAGGTGCTGCTGTTTCATGGACCACTCTTTAAATAGGAAAGAGATGGACCACATGTTTCTAATTTCTGCTTACTGCCGTTGCACGTGCTTTCTCTTTTCATAACGCTCATATTTGGGCCTGTTAGTGGTTGAGGAACTCAGAGAGCATATACACAATACAGCCTAGACCAAAACCTTCAGTCTACTTACTTGGTCAGTGTCTTACTGTGTTCTGGGATCCCCTGACTCTTATGATAAAAAGACTGCACACTTTTGCCTGCACAGTGCAGCCTGTTTTCTCTCCTGTTTTCTCTCTCTCTTCTGCATGGTCTGGTTGACCCGAAGTTTCTGGAATTTTCTGCTAATTCCTTTTATATCTACTAGCTAATGTCTTTCTCTCCATCTATGTAACAGATTGCCTTTCTGATTCTCTTTCAGATCAATACTTCCCACTCATCTTATCTCCACGTTGAATATCTATCTTTTGAAATATTTTATAGCCTTATAAAAATTCTATTTGTGATACTATCCTGTCTTTATTGCTTTGCTGCTTTTTTTCCTTCATATTTGTTGGGTACCACAGTATACTACCATCAGGAAATTATCAATCTGCTTACAAGACTACATAAAATATCTAAGCTACCAATCCTTTCTTCTGTATCCTTTTAACCAGACTCAACTGCTGTATGTAGAATCAACACCTCTTGGACTCTTTGGAGATTGACCCATCCCCTGTGACTTCCCAATGTGTTCTTTTATAATTAGTTTTCAATTGAGATAGAATATAAATTCAGCAACATTCACCTTTTATAGTGTACAATTGAATGAATTTTTTTTTTTTTTTTTTTTT